GAAAGGTTGGTCCAGGGGGGGGGGCTAGCATATATATATATATATAGATAGAAACCATACTAAGGAACCCCAACAACGTAGGTCGTTTCGGCTACAGGTAAGCCCTAAATCCCAAGCGCCCGGGCAGACCGTGGACTCACTCACGGCTTCCGTTGGCGAGTGGAGGCGGCTGAGCGAGGAGAAGGCGCGACAGCATCAAAGGGCTCAACCCTAAACCCTAAACACTAAACGGTACCCTGAACCCAAACCCTGAACCCTAAACCCTAAACCCTAAACCCTAAACCCTAAACCCTAAACCCTAAACCCCTAAACCCCTAAACCCCTAAACCCCTAAACCCCAAACACTAAACCGTTGGGTTTAGGGGCTCCGCGGGTGGGATGCAGGCAGATGAAGTAACCCCAAAGTAAGAGTCCTCATATAAAAGACCCTTAATCCTAAACCCTAAACCTTAAACCCTAAACCCTAAACCCTAAGCTAATATAGGGGCCTTAAGAATTAGAACAGGGTTTTGGGGGATCCTTATTCTAATTACAGTATTACATACCCTATTCTAACTATTAAGGCCCTAACATAGAGCCCTATCATAGATCTCTCTCTTATAGAACCCTTCAAGGATCCCTTTAAAGGAACCCTATTCTAATTATTAAGGCCCCTTTTTTTAGCTACTTTCATCTCACCGTTTTAAGGCCTCCAGAAGCCTACCCAGGGTGGCGTGGGTTTAGGCTAAGGCAGTTTTGGGGTTACTCAAGGGCTGTGATAAGGGTCTAGGAGGGCTCTTTTCGGGTTTGGTGTTCAGGGTTTGGGGCCTGGGGTTCAGGGAAAGTTTAGTGTTTAGTGCTTAGGGTGTGGGGTGCCAATAGTATAATAGAACACTTAGCCTCACCCGCAAAGCGACAGCCAATCTAAACCGCACAGGATAGCCTGCCCCGCAGGAAAACTGTAGTAGCGTTAGGGTAACGGCTCTGGGTTGAGGGCTGCGGAGTTTGGGTTGGCCCTAAACCCTAGACCCCAAACTCCAAACCTCCAATCCACAAGTGCGCCAGCAAAAATCCTGACCCCCAAGCCCCAAACCCTAAACCCATACACAGCCCCTGCAGTAAGCCTTTGCAGTAGCCCCCCAAACGCCCTGGACCCCAAACCCTAACCCTAAACCCTAAACCCCAAACCCCAAACCCTAAACCCAAAACCCAAACCCCGAAACCCTAAACCCTGAACCCTGAACCCTGAACCCTGAACCCTAACCCCTAAACCCTAAACCCTAAACCCTAAACCAAGGATCTTGAGATCTCTGACCTCAGCACGAAGCTCGATCAGATGATGCGGGAGCATGCCGGGGCCTGAGGAGTTTTTGCGTACGTCAGGCTTCAGTTCGTATTAGTGCCGGTATTAGTATTAAGTTTAGGGTTTAGGGGTTAGGGTTTAGATTTTAGGGTTTAGGGTTTAAGGTATTAGGACTAGGACAAGGAGTAGGGTCTAGAGTTTAGGGTTCAGGGAAGTTTAGGGTACTAGGGCGCTAGGGTAGTTAGGGTAAGTATTGGAACTGGTACTAGTGCTAGTGTTAGGACTAGGACTATAGTTTCGAGTTTAGGGTTCAGGGCTCTCGGGTACGATAGCCACTACTGCTAGGACTGCGACTGCTGCATGTCGACCGGATGCTGCCAAAACTCCGAGACAAGGAAGATCACCCTAAACCCTAAACCCTAAACCCTAAACCCTACACCCTAAACCCCTAAACCCTGAACCCTAAATATTGAAGATCAACACCCTAAACCCTGAACTCAGTCGCTCATGGCTTCTCCGTTCCACCCGTCTCCCCAAGGCTGCCCTCGAGGAGGCGATTGCGCAGAAGCGCCGCGAGATCGAGCAGCAGGCTCGTGGGGATGCAAATGGGTGTTTGCGAAAATACTGACTGTAAGGGGTACCTTATTCTGAGGTCCTTACAATAAGGATCCTACTATTTGGGGTACTATATTAGCGTCCCCTATTTTCGGAACCCCCCAGATGAGGTCATCTTCGGCGCCCATCACCATCACCATCATCACCATCACCACCATCATCATAATCGTCACAACTTACCAAGATCATCAGCACCGTCGCCATCACCATGCTCACATCAATATAAACATCAAGCCGAAACCCTAAACACTCAACCCTGCAATCCCCAGAACCCTATGTCCTGAACCACCAGAAGCCCCTCCCGAAACCCCTACACCTCAAATCCTAGATCCTAAATCCTACTTGGAGGGTCATGGGTAGTTATAAGTAGGGTTATAAGTCTCCGAACATGGGCTATAATTACAGTTACCCTACTTATAACCCCACTTATAACTACCCATGAACCTCCAAGTAAACCCGAAAGACCTCAAGGTGGCGGAGGAAAAGGCTGCCCTAGAGGCGAAGGTGCAGGAGCTGCAGCTGGAGTGGTGCCTTGGACGGAGTTGGGAGTTTCAGGGTTTAGGGTTTAGGGTTTATATGGGGTTCAAGGTTTAGGGTTTATATAGGGTTCAGGGTTTAGGATTTAGGGAGGTTTGGTGTTTAAGAGGGGCTTTCCATCGCCGTCTACAGAGGGTCTTCAGCACCTCAACTCAACTGTTCCCCTGCGGATAGACCCTAAATCCTAAACCCTAAACCCTAAACCCCTGAACCCAAAACCCTACACCCTAAACCCTGAACCCTGAGCCCTGGATCCTAAACCCTAAACCCTAATTATAGGAGCAACCGTTTAGCTGCCTTTGAGCGAGTCCCCTGTCTGCTCAGTGACAACGCCCGTGCCATCAGCGACGGCATGGACAAAGCGAGCAACCGGGTGCAGAAGGCTGGCAGTTTGGTGTTATGGGTTTGGGTGTAGGGTTTAGGATTTCAGCAGCTAGGCTTCAGGTTGCATGAAGGAAGAGCATTGCATGATCTGGGGCACATGCTTTCATAAACGCCGAAGCAGTCAATTTCCTGACGTCGCTGCTGTTGCTGTCACTTTCCGGCAGAAGCCCATGCAGACCATATTCGCCGCAGCCATGAACCACGTAAACCCATCAAAATCCCTGGACCTTAAACCCTAAACACCTAAACCTTAAACCCTAAACCCTAAACTCCAAACCCTAAACACCTAAACCTTAAACCTTTTAAACCCTAAACCCTAAACCGTAAATCCGAAACCGAACGCTGCTGTCCGCGGCCACCTCTGGAGCTCAAAAAGGGGGGGGTCCAAGAGCCTCGTAGGTCCTCGTAGAGGCAGGAGGCGGAATTTTCAATCCGCAGAACTTTTAAACGTGTCCTGGCGAAGTTTTACTGTAGGGCTTGGTAGGGTTTATAGGGGTGTATAGGGTTCAGGGTTGAGTGTTTGGGGGTTGAGGGTCAGGGTCTAGGGTTTAAGGTTACAGGGTTTAGGGCCAGAGCCCAATACCCCCCTAATTAAAGAACATACCTTAAGCCATGATATTAAAGCCCCTATAACCTAAGGTATTTTTCTTAATTAAGGGGTATTGGGTTTAGGGTTTAGGGTTCCGAGAAGAGGACCGAAGGTGCGGGGGCTCCTCAGTTCGGGATTGCAAGGTTCACCGGTTGAGGTTGAGTATAGGGCTTAAATAAATCACCTAGACTATTTTGGAGGTTCCTTGTTATAATTATATATTACTATAGTACAGTATACCCCAAACTCCTGACGGCCCCTATATTAGGGGTCCTCGTCTGGCAGAGTATCCTGAGCATAACGGTCGTTGAGGGTTTAGGGTTTAGGGTTTAGGGTATATTGTAAGCATTGTATTAGAAATGAGGCTGCAATGGTTTGTCACATCCGCATTATTGCTCTTTGCCATCAAGATGAATCGGTACTTCTGAGTATGCTTTTACACGTTTTGCTGCCTTTTAGTCAGCTGAGGATGAAGTTTGGAAAGCTCATCAAGCGCGTCGCGCCCCCGTCTCACCTGAATCAGTATGTCGCTTATGATGTGCTCAAGAAGGCGCGGCAGATGTCCGTGCTAAGCTGTGGCTCATCTGGTCTTCCTGGTTTCGGTCGGCATTATGCTGCAATTTGTTGATGAGGATGCAGGTCGAAGGGGATAAACGAGCCCACAGTCCTAAAGCAGACCCCGGGGAATGTCGATCGACAGCTTGTCTTCTTCATTGGAGCTTGGTTGGGGTGATGATCCTGAGCCCCAGACCTTGTGTTCTACTCAGCTTCGGCAGCAGACGTCCTTGCACAATGCCAGGTAGCTCTTGCCTGCTTTGGGTGGTTCTCGACAGGGGGCAATTTGGATTTTGAGCTTTCCCAAATGCAAAACACTTTCTTTTAGGGCATACTAGACAGGACTGGAATCTGGAATGGACTCCTACACTGCAAAATGTGTCAGTCTTCCAACACGTCCACTTCTGCATCAGGCCATCGTCGTCCTCCAGGCGCTCGCACATTCCATGCGCAACAGTGGTTCAGGGTTTCAGAGTTAATGATTGTGGCAGCGGCCATTTTTGGTGCCGATCTTGGTTATCGGTGTCTTGAGCGCCAAAGCAGAGGCCACCTACAAATGCCTGAAGATCATCCCCCCCCCACCCACACACCCCAAAAAACCTGCGAGCCTCGATAATCTGGTTTCTGTCAAGTAGCTCCTAAACCCTAAACCCTAAACCCTAAACCCTAACCCCTAAACCCTAAACCCTAAACCCAAAACCCTAAACCCAAAACCCAGCAAGTGCTGTGCATGTGCGACGACAGCTTTTGAAAGGCGCTCCAGTTAGTTCTTCCCAATGCCTCGCCTTCAATCCCGGGCCGAATTCCTAAACTCTTAACATGGACGTACTTGGAGGTTCATGGGTAGTTATAAGTGGGGTTATAGGGTTCCTTTAAGGGTTCTGTAGGGTTTAGGGTTTAGGGTAGTTATAAGTGGGGGAAAAAGTAGGGTAATTGTAATTATAAACCATCTTGGGGACATATAACCCCATCTAGCTATCCATGAACCTCCAAGTAGGGATAGAGTAGTAGTTTCCCCTTGCAGTCCCTGTAAGCGTGTAGTGTAACATCATCCGCCGAAACCCTTTTTCTAGATATTTAGGCCCCTGCAGTACCCCCTGACTGAAGTTTTGAGACCTAAGCAATAAACCCCGAATCCTTGAGACCAAACAAGTTGGCAGGAAGCGGAGAAAAAGCGCACGGCCGAAGAGGCATCTGGCGCTGGGGCCGGCGTAGCAAGCACGGACGAGAAGGAGGCACCATTTAAGCATTTGGGGTTTCGGGTGTGGCAGGGCTTGCATAGGGTTTAGGGAGCTCCTTACTACAGACACCCCACAAAGGCCATAGAAACGGACATAAACCCGCCAGAACTCCGCAGAAGCTGCATGTAAATGCAGGTAAACCCTCAAGGAAATCTGCGGATACTCTTACATGGGTAGTTCTTTAAAGTAGGGTCCCTTTTAGGTCACCAGTATAGTACGGCACCCTTATAAAAAGGACCTTAAAAGGGACGTAATTTGAAGAACTACTTGCCTCGAAATCCGAGAGGTTAGTGAAGCTTTCGGGAACTCCACCACGAGCGCAAGCGGACAACCTCCAGAGTCCAGGCGAGAACTCTTGGATTACTTTCAGTATGGAATGGTTTATTTATGGTCACCATTGCTATCAGTATTTGTTCGAACATTGCTACTATGTTTCTCTTGCTGGTTTGTTTTCTTTAAGCTATGACTGTAACTGTCTTGTCTCTTGGTTACTCCCCGTATGACTACCTTTGTTATTTTACCTTCTTGGATCTCTTGTGGTACTGTTCTCAACATCCCGGTCATATTTACTTCTATCACTAGGTTGTCGGCGTTCTCTAGTTGGTTTTTCGAGGTCGGCTGTTTTGGGGTTCGAACCGCTGAGTTCTGGAGCAAGATGCCTTCCGAGGTCTAGTCGCCTCGATCCTGGACCCTTGAAACGTACCCCAAGACCTCCATCCCGAGGTCCAAGGTATAGACCCTACCTGACCCCCAAATAGCTTCATTTTTTGGAACCGAAATCAGGAACCCAGAGAGCGCAAGACCCCTTAATTAAGGAATATACCTTAATTCTAGGGACCCTAACATTATGGTTTAAGGTATATTCCTTAATTAAGGAGTATTGGGGCTCCCTGGGTGAAAAGGCAGGTTTCTGGCGGTTAAGGTAAGCTCGCGAAGCACAGAGCAGACACCTTCTCAACTCCCTGACGCCCGCCAAACCCTAAACCCTAAACCCAAAACCCTAAACCCTAAAACCTGAACCCTGAGCCCTAAACCCTAAGTCCCGCGAGGTTCTATGAGCTGACTAACCATGAGACCCTAAACCCTAAACCCTAAGCGAGGTTCTATGAGCTGATCAACCATGAGACCCCAAACCCTAAACCCTAAACCCTAAACGAGGTTCTATGAGCTGATTAACCATGAGATGCAGAAGGTGAACAGACACTTCTCTTTGCAGCTTCGGTCCATCGTGGACCGCGGGGTTTCGGGTCTCCACTTCGGGCTTTGAGGTTTCTGATTCATACAGAAAGTCTAGGTTTAGGGGTTTAGGGTTTAGGTTTTAGGGTTTGAGGTTTAGGGGTTTAGGGTTTAGCTCCGGCGTTGAGTTGGTGTGTGCATGGAGCCCTGGGGGACGACCAGGACAACCTCAAAGAAGCGCAGGCGGCCCTGTTCCAGCACGTGAAGGCTGGAGGCGCGCATGCTGGAACCCGGTTGTTGCAACATAATATAAAAGCCTAAATAAATACCTATACTATTTTGGGGGTTCCTTATTATAGCTATGTTATGATATACCCCAAAACCCTATTCTAATTATTCAGGCCCCCCCTACATTAGCATCACTGCGGAAGCTGCCTAAGCCATATGCTGAAAGTTCTACCCCTTGCGGTTTATCGGGTTAGGGTTCTGGGTCTGGGTGCATTTCGACACAAGTCGAAGTCGGGTTTTCATGGTCTGCTGATGGAAATGCCAGGAAATTTAAGCACTTGTCCGAACTAGGCATTGCGCAGGGTACCGCATTTAGAAAGGGTCTGGTGTTCTGGAAACGAACCGTGTTGACCACCAAATACTGAATCATGAAGTACTGTAAGGCCTTCAAAAGGATATCATGTACGTAGGGGTTTTAATACTGCGGTAGGGCGAAAGTTCATCGCACTCCTGTATGTTGCTCTTGAACGCCTTGCAAACCCCTTTCCTCCGTAGACTCCGCCACCCAGTCCTCCTTCGGAACAGTATAGTGGTATAATTTCATTCCCGTGGATTCACGTAAAATGCACTTGTTTGTATTCCGCGTCCTCTGCATGATGGCATAAATGGCAACTGCAACTAAAGCTTTAATCTTGCGATGTATTGTGGCATAGTGGCCATATTTATACTGTATGCCGCTACCAAAGCCTATGCCGTAAACCCTGAACCCTAAGCATTGTTCTAACAATTAACGTCGTCAAGGGCCTCTTGATCAGACCCAGCCTAAGCCTTTGCTTGCTTCGGACAACTGTACTGTTTAGGGTTCAGTTTATCATGAAAGCTTGGGTTTTTCGGCTATAGAGTGGAGAAGCTTTATCTGGCAACTTTGACAGACCCTAACAGACCCTAGCCCTAACAGGAGCAACAGGAACAACAACAACAACAACAACAACAACAACAGCAAACAACATCAATAACAGCAGCAGCAACAACAACAGCAGCAGCAACAACAACAACAACAACGTTTTTCTCCCTGCACAACTAATGTTGCTATCACTGTTATATGACAGTTCGGTGGAACTCTTTGATTATCTTTCAGGGTCAGGGCCTTTCACGTTTTAGATATAGAATGAATCCCCCCCACACCCCAAACTCCAGCCAGAGGCACTTATGGCTGACACTGACTGACGAATGTCCGACCGAATCCTAAACTCCACACCCCAAGCTTGAAGCCCTAAACCCTAGATCCTAAGCTCTAACCCCTCAACCCATCCTCACCCTAAACTCTAAAACCTAGCCTAAAACCCCGAAACCCTCAACTAAACCCTAGCCCTCAACCCTAAGCCCTAAACCCTAAAACCCCAAACCCCGTACCCTAAAGCCCTAAAGCCCTAAAGCCCTAAAGCCCTAAAGCCCTAAAGCCCTAAAGCCCTGAAGCCCTAAAACCCGAAACCCTAAACCCTCAACCCTAAGCACGAAGCTCCTAAAGGCCCTAAGCAGCCCAAACCTCGGGCCATCTAAAGCCCCAAACCCCAAACCTCACAGAAACCGTTACAGTAACCTTTAAACGAACCCTTGCAGTAGCCCGTATAGGATTCCTTCTAAAAAAGCCCGTGGGCAGGCGGAGGGGACAACCTGCCGGTGGCCGAAAGGTTCCTTCAGACGGCGGCGCGAGCCCCAAGTCGGATTTTCGGGTTTTTAGGGTTTTTTTTGGGGGGTTTTCGGGTTTACGGTTTGGGGTTTAGGATTTAGGGTTTTAGGGTGTAGGGTTTTCGGGTTTTGGTTTAGGGTTTAGGGTTGAGGGTTTTAGGGTTTAGGGTTTAGGGTTTAGGGCGACTCTTTAAACGGTCTACTTGGAGGTTCATGGGTAGTTAAAAGTGGGGTTATAGGGTTCCTTTAAGGGTTCTGTCGGGTTTAGAGCTCGGGGTGGTTGTTTGTGGGGTTATAAGTAGGGTAGCTCTTATTATAACCCTCATTAGGGGACTTATAACCCCACTTATAACTACCCACGAACCTCCAACAAGTAAGTGTCCAAACCCAAAGCCGAGCGGTTTTCCGGGGTTCAGGGCTCGAAACATTTGTGGTTTTATTTTTCAAGGCTTGAGGTTGTGGGGCTGAGTGTTCAAGAAAGGGTTTAAGGGTTTGAAGGCGTGAGGGTTCAGCGTTTTCAGGAGTTGCGGTTGAAGGTTGAAAGGGGGGTAGTGTAGAGTATAGGGGCCTTAATAATTTGAATAGGGTTTTGGGGCCCATTATACTATAGTTACAATAAGGAACCCCCAAAATAGTATTGGTAATTATTTAGGCTTGAGGTGGTATGTGGGATGTCTAGAAGTCGCAGTTCCTTTTTTCGTCAGATTCTGAGTGGGCCGTCTGTGCTTTGTGTGGAGTCTTCAGTCGTTCAATCCCAGCCCCTAAACCCGAGGCCGAAATGTTACACCGCAAATCGCAACTCCAACCTTAAACCCTAAACCCTAAACCCTAAACCCTAAACCCTGAACCCTAAACCCTAAACCCTAAACCCTAAACCCTAAACCCTAAAAGACCGCAGGCTCGAGAGGCAAGTTCAGGTCGTTTTCTGCCATAAGACTTCGCAACAGCGCTTGAGGCAGACGTCTTGGTAGAGCTGGACAACTACCGCAGCCTCAACAAAACAGCCTTCAGGCAAGAGGGGGAGTCCTTGCAATATGGCGAATCATAGTATATCATACCATTGTATATTATGGTGTAATTATAGTATTAGTTTGGGTTTAGGGTTTGATAGCACATCATGCTACTGTAGATTATGGTGTGATTAAAGTATCAGGGTTTAGGGTTTAGGGTTTAGGAGTTTGGGGTTTCATAGTAAACCATCTTATTGTAGATTATGGTGCAATTGCAGTATGTAGTATAGCGTAGTCTACCCCACAATAACCCTATTCGAAACTCTACTGCGACACATGGTCGTCAAATGCTGCAGAACGCAAATTCTCGAAGGTCCGGGTTGCGACGACACAATGATGTTGTACGTTTGCTCTGTGGGTAGCGATCATATCAATGTACAAACAGTAACTAACTCTACTGAAAGCCTTAAACCCTAAAAACCCCAAACCCTAAAACTCAAAACCCCTATAAATCCTAAAACCCTAAACCCTAAAATTCAAAACCCCTATACACCCTAAAACCCGAAACAAACCCCAAGAATTCAAAACCCCTGTAAACCCTAAACCCAAAGCCATCATAGGCTAAAGCCATTGCGTCGTCCTCGGAAGGCCTGAGAGTCACGACTCTGCTGCCCCTCCACCGACCCCGTTGGCCCTCAACCCTGCACCTTCAAGGACCCGAATATAGGGGCCTTAATAATTACCTATAATAATTATACCTATACTATTTTGGGTTTAGGGTTGCTCTAATATAGGGGCCTTCATAATCACCTAATACCCTATTCTAGTCATGAAGGCCCCTATACGAAGCCCCAAACGCTAAACTGCATTATAAGCCCTAAGCCGTATCATGATCCCCAAGCGCCCAACCCTAAACCCTAAACCCTAAACCCTAAACCCTAAACCCTAAACCCAAAGCCCTAAACCCTAACCGTGAATCCCACACCCCGAGCCCGAAGCCCCGAACCCTAAGCACGCCTTAAGCACTGACGGAGTGAGCTGCGCAAGTGGAGGACTGGGTTTAGGGCGTAGGGGTTTTGGGTTTAGGGGTGTGGGGTTTAGGGGTTTAGGGTGTAGGGGTTTTGGGTTTAGGGGTTTCGGAGTGTGGGGTTTAGGGGTTTAGGGTGTAGGGGTTTAGTGTTTCGGGTTAAGGGTTCAGGGTTTAGGAGTTTAGGGTGTAGGGGTTTAGGGTTTAGGGGTTTAGGGTTTAGGGACTCAGGCTTAGGGTTTAGGGTTTAGGCTATGCGGGGCTTCTGGGTTCGATGTTGCGACCCACGAGACTTGCGTTTAAGCGGCACAGCCAGGAAGATCGCGAAGAAGTTCGACAAGGGCCTTACCACCAAGAAGCCTCTGTCAAAATGGAGACTTTGATGCACCGAAACCTGTATTCTTTCCTCAGAGTTTTAGTGGCGTAGTATCTCGCTATCAGTAGTCCTATCGCTACTTTTGTGCATATCCCTGCTGCTCGCATTCTCGCTTTTTGGCACCACCCAGCGGAAAGATGCTATAGAAACGCTTTTGGTCCCGTCTACACGATTAGGATTGCGGCGAAGCGCATTTCCTTCAGTTAATGTAGGGGCCTAAACCCTGAACCCTAAACCCAAAACCCGAAACCCTATTCGAATTATTAAGGCCCCTACATCAATGGCGATTCTGTTTTCAAAGCTGCATCCTCAAGCGTGATCCCGCGCTCAAGATGCCACGCAAATCCCGACAGGGTTCCAACCATCCATGACGGTTCAGGCATTTAAGGTTAAGGGTTTAGGGTTTAAGGTTTAGGGTTTAGGGTTGAGGGTTTAGGGTTTAGGGTTGTGGGTTTAGGGTTGAGGGTTTTAGGGTTAAGGGTTGAGGGCTTTGGGTTTAGGTCAAGGATTCAGGGTTGAGGGTTTAGGGTTGAGGGTTTAGGGTTTGTTCCAACCATCCATGAACCTCAAGCCATAAACACAAAACCGTAACGAACAATTCCTCGATCCAACATATATATGATCCCGGTTCGGCCG